TGTACTATATCTCATTTTTATTTTTTATATATATATATATATATATATATATATATATATATATATATATATATATTATGCCTGGGCGATAAAACGGTATCAATATTTATCGATGGTACACCTTCTTTGATAACGATATAAAAAATGTTCGATACAGTGTACGATATAGGCACGTGCGATGAGGGACGCAGGCAGCACACACAAACACGAACACATGCTGAAATGGGTGCTGTGCCTGCCTGTGATGAGGAGATTGTGAATTAAAAAATGAATATTAGTCGAATTTAAAATAAATATTTGCATTTGAATGTTGGGAGTGCGTCAGGGAGCGTCATCAGTGGAGCACGAGATGCGGTGATAATGATCATATAAGTGACATTGTTGCATTTTAATGTTTTGTCTAGCCCACGAGATGCGCTGCTGCTGTGTTATGCATTCAAAATGTTAGAGAAATATAGAAGCTCAATGCGGAGAAGATCTTGATTAGGTGAAAACCTGAAACCAAGCCATTCACACAGATATATTCAGTGCATTTTTAGCCGGACAAATATGACTGCTGCACTCGCGTCTCACACAAGAGATGTAACCATGCGACGTTAAAACAGTTTAAACCTTTAAAAAACACGTCGCGAATTTGTGGAGGTTTATTCCTTTTCACTGCGTCTCTTATGTTTTTAAATGCAATCTGCGTGATGGGCGATTTGGCTCTTTGTATTAAGCAATGCATAAATACATGATGCTGTTTTGCTCATAATTGTTTATGCAATTTACGAAATTATATATGATTTATGAGTTAATTTAGATGTAATGCAGGTTTTTTTAGACATTTATTTCCTTGCGTTGACCATTTAAATGTGCTGCATTATTTTGCTCATTGTGCCCTTCTGTGGCCTCGGGAGACGAGCCAAAAGTTTCCTTCAGACCTATTTAATCTGCATATAAAACATTTGAAATTAGATATTTGTTTAATTTTTATTGTGTGTTTGACTATTAAAACAAAAATATTTGTTGCTTGTCTCAATAAATTGGGTTAATTTAAAAATACAGCGGTTAAATTAAAAAAAAAATGTTCTATTGCTCTTTGTTTTAAAAAAAGGCTATAAAAAATTTAAATAATTATCGATACAGAACGATATGAAACATTATACATGATACATTTTTTTGCTATATCGCCCAGCCCTAATTAATATATATATATATATATATATATATATATATATATTTATATTCCATGAGTTAATCTTCTGGATTACAAATCTTTACTCATGTCTCACCATCTGTTGTTTTTGTAGAGGTTGTTTATTTTACTCTTTAGGTCATTTTTAGAAAATTCTTTGAAAATACTGGTCTGTGAATTCGTACAGAAATGTATTATCTTGTGGGTTTCAGTTTTTATCTCACCTTAAATTCAGCTTTAGCTATTTGTTTTTTTGTTTGTTTGTTCCCCATTATTTTTTAATGGAATAATTAAATGCGATTTAATATGTTTTGGCTCGGTGTGACTTGTATTGAGTTTTTTGTTTTTGTTTTCAGAAAATCTGGTATATAATTGGTATATCATTTTGGTTTTAATTAATTAGCAGCCTTAAGTTATCTTTTTATTTTTTCAGGCATCAAATCCATGAGAAGGAGGAATTTAAAGCTTTAAAGACTCTCAACATCTTTTACCAAGCTGGCACATCTAAGAATGGGAATCCTGTCTTTTACTACATTGCACGCAGGTAAGAGCTTTATTTCTGAGTCATGCTGCTTCGTTGTGATACCTGACCTGTTGCTATTTGTGTTGTAACTTTTGAGCTGGGCATTCTGTTTTACTCCTCCTGTATCCGGTTCATAATGTTTATTCTCTTTAAGGTTTGCACAAGTCATATTTGGATTTTTCTCTAAGAAGTTTGCATAAATTCACAGAATAGCAGCAGTGTTTTCATTATTAGTTTATTGATGTGTCACACTTAGTACGTCATTATATACACCGCTATGTACGACTCCTTAATACCTCTTTTAATAATAAACACCCATCCTTAACCATTCTGCATTTGTGAGGTATTTTAGAAATGTCAGTGATGTCAACACTTTTTTTTATATATACAATGATGCATATTAGGGCTGTGCAATTAATCGCATGTGATTGTCATGTGCATCTCGTCAGTAAAGCTGCTCCTGTGATTAGTAGTAAATCACCATCACCTGCTTTCAGATTGAGCGGCATTCACTACACAGAGCCGTAGTTCACTGAAAATTAGGCAATATTGCGTTCATAATTGCAGATGAATCGCATTCGATTATGAACGCGATATCGCCTAGCTTGTCAGTGAACTACGGCTCTGTGTATTAAATGCCGCTCCATCTAAAAGCAGGTGATGGTGATTTACTACTAATCACAGGACCGGCTTTACTGACGAGATGCACATGACAATCGCATGCGATTAATTGCACAGCCCTAATACATATATTTTTCTAGTTTATAGTGTTTGAGCAACAAAAAAAAAATCGGTAATCTGTTTTAGATATTTGACAAACATAGGCGGTTTGTCAAATGGAGTTGATGATCATGTCTGGTGAAAGAGGTTAATAACTGCAGTGGAGGTGACAATATAGATCAAAAGTCCAGACAGTCCTACGATCCCCATAGGTGAAAGAGTTGGTGCAGTAGAAATGGTGGTGGCTGGGCTGTTGGTTGTGGTGCTGGTTCTGGTTGCTGCTGTGCTGGTGGTTGTGGTTCTGGTTCTGGTTGCTGCTGTGCTGGTGGTTGTGGTTGTGGTTCTGGTTGCTGCTGTGCTGGTGGTTCTGGTTCTGGTTGTGGTTGCTGCTGTGCTGGTGGTTGTGGTTCTGGTTCTGGTTGCTGCTGTGCTGGTGGTTGTGCTGTTGGTCATATTGTGGTTTGTGCAGTTGGTCGTGCCATTGGTCATATTGTGGTTTGTGCAGTTGGTCGTGACATTGGTCATGCCATTGGTCATATTGTGGTTTGTGCAGTTGGTCGTGACATTGGTCATGCCATTGGTCATATTGTGGTTTGTGCAGTTGGTCGTGACATTGGTCATGCCATTGGTCATATTGTGGTTTGTGCAGTTGGTCGTGCTGTTGGTAGTGCAGTTGATTGTTGTATTTGTTGCAGTGTCAGCAGCAGCATTGGTAAGACCATAACTTGTAATCATTACAGCCACTAGCAATAGTAGTATCTGAGTTTTGGAAGCCATATTCAGGTCTCTCACTGTTTAGATGGGGCAAACAACAAAAAATTAGCGTTCTATATAGTAATGTTTATTTTTATTTTTATAATAATAAGACATATCACCATAAAAAAAACTAGTTCTTTATATAAAATAGTCATATTTACCGTTTGTTATGGATGATCGTTCTTTGTGTGTCTCAGTTCTCTAGAAGGATGCTGGTGTGAATGCCAGCGTGAAATTATGCCTTTTATTTGACTTACACGTTAAACCAACACCCTTGCAAGAGGCGGAGGTGTGTTATTATTGGAGGATGGAACTGAATGCATTTATAATTTTTTCTTTTTTTATCTTAGTCTCTTGCATTCAAAGAGAAAGTTCACCCAAAAAGGAACATTCTGTCATTGTTTACTCACTCTCTTGTTTTTCCAAATCTGTCTGACTTACTTTCTTCTGTAGAACACAAAAGAAGATATTTTGACTATATAAACATTGATTTTCAAAGTTTCTTTTTTTCTTTTTCAAAATATAATTTTTTGTGTTCCAACAAAGGTAATAAATGTTTGGAATGACATGAGGGTAAGTAAATTATGACAGAATTTCCATTTTTGGGTGAACTATCCTTTTAAGTGGTGTAATAAAACAGGCACTGATACTAGTCATACTGTTGAATGTTTATAGTTGGATATTAGGATCATAAATTGTCAGATCAATTTTCTTGATTTTGAAAGCAACAGCATAACTTCTACAGTTAAAATTATTTTATTAGCACTGATGTATTATTTAAATAATAGGACTTCAATCAACATCAATTTGGTGTCACCCAGCAATATAATACCTATTTATTCTCTAGATTTTCAGGGAAAATCAGTGAGCTTTTTAATAGGGCTTGTCCGAATGTCATTTTTTGAGCTTCGAAGCTGCGGTAGTAATGAACACCGAATATTCGAATCTTCGGTGGGAGGGGGCTGAACATATTCTTCTCTCTAATAAAGGCAGAAATCTCTGTGTGTCTGTCTGTTTGCATTTTTATTATGTCGAGAACCGTTCATCCAAATCGGCTTCATGCATGGCGGGTGTGTTGCTGCAGACCCAAGGGAGGGCAGTGTGGCATTTTGGTGCAATATGGACACGCGACACGTTCAGAATTAATAAACCTTTAATAAACTACAGAACAGCGCGAGCCAGAAGCGGCGTGCCTCACGCGGGCAGGGCTTATATGCTCCGAGAACGGACACTGCACTAGTGATACAAAACACACAGGTCTGTTAAGAGCAATACTTTTAATAAGGTAGCCTAACATTTTTCTAACAAACAAATCACTCCCAAATCACAGTAATTACTGACACCGTAAAGGGTAGGCTATTTAAATAAAAGAAGAACGAAAAATAAATGAACGAAGTTCAACGAACTGTAACAGGGTTTCCGTGGGTCTTAAAAAAAGTCTTAAATTTAGTTGTATCAAATTTAAGGCCTTAAGTCTTAAATTGTACAAGAAATTCTTATTTATGATTTCAAGAGGTCTTAATTTTGAGGACAGAAAGACCAGAATTGCGATATGGCTGAGTGTGACGATTGAACTTCAAAAGGCTATGATTTCATTAAATAAACATGAGTGCTGCAGGTTCAAAGTCCGGCTGTGCTGTGCTGCTTTGTGTTCTGCTGTTACCGGGGAAACAGTTATATTTCTACCAAACGCTCCACCTACTGGCAGAGAATGAATGAGCATTTTCAATAAAACTGTTGTTTTGTTCAGCGTTCAGACCAATGCAAAAATTGACCCATGTTTTTACCCTGCAAACACGCAGAGCTTTAAATGTGAACTGGTGGATCGATAAGAAGACAATGCATTATAAAAATCTAAACAGTATAGGGGTGTTCGATATATATGGTCTGCGATAATATCATAATTGTTGTTTTAACGATGTGCGATTTGATATCATCGAGTATATCGCGAAAAGCAAACAAAACACCTACAGAGTGCGCGCATACATTACGTGATGAAGTCTAGCAGGTTAGACAAGTGTGCATGCGCATTTATAGTGCTTTTTTCACTGCATTAATCAGTCTATTAAAATGCATTTAGAGTTATCACATAATTCAAGATATGGGGCAGAAAATGTATATATTTATATAATTTCATGTAGTTAATATCACACGAAGAGTTTACCCTGTAAACGCGCAGAGCTTTAAATGTGAACTGGTGGATCGATAAGAAGACAATGCATTATAAAAATCTAAACAGTATAGGGGTGTTCGATATATATGGTCTGCGATAATATCATAATTGTTGTTTTAACGATGTGCGATTTGATATCATCGAGTATATCGCGAAAAGCAAACAAAACACCTACAGAGTGCGCGCATACATTACGTGATGAAGTCTAGCAGGTTAGACAAGTGTGCATGCGCATTTATAGTGCTTTTTTCACTGCATTAATCAGTCTATTAAAATGCATTTAGAGTTATCACATAATTCAAGATATGGGGCAGAAAATGTATATATTTATATAATTTCATGTAGTTAATATCACACGAAGAGTGCCGTTTTTTTCTTCAAAAGTCAGCATGATTACAAATGTGATTTTGATTTTATACAACAGTTCAATAAACATGAAGTTAATATTAAGAGACTTGCGTTTTAGACACCATATTTCCTGTTTTTGCTCTATTTCTCCTACAAAAATCATTCCAAACACAGCCACAGCACTGTTTTGCGTCTCTGAGCAACACGATGGTGTTTTGTTCCTGATGAACAATGAATCAACCGTGTAAATGATTCGGTTCAGTTGCAATGACTCGCTTATTAACAGTGACTTGCTGCCACCTACTGGCAGTTTTAATTTCACATT